GTCTACCTGCTCCAGGCTGTTTACTTGGGTCCTGATAAGCAGGGAGCCTGAAGCCCTTGTTCTGGGCAGGGCAAGGGCAAGGCCCAAAGTGCTGGCCCCCTTATCTTTTAAAGCCAAGAAGGGAGGGGGAGGGGCATTTGGGTGACACTTGGGCCGTATAAGGTAACCCAGAGTTGCCTCCAGACTTGGAATGTGTGGGTGCAGACAGAGGGATTCTGAGTCACACCCAGGAGGAGGTAGCTCTAGGCCCCTGGCCCAGACTCAGGCTCTGTGCAGAAAGACAGAGGAGGCCAAAGACTTAGAGGCACCAGGAAGAGCGACTTGGCTCCTTCAGAGATAAAATAGGAGCTGGAGATGAAGCTCAGTTGGTAGTCTTTGCCTAGCACGGACAAATCCCCAGGTTCCATTTCCAGCACCACTTAAAACTAGGTGTGGTAGCACACAGCTGTAATTCCAGCACCTGGTAGAGCTCAGGGTCATCCTAGGCTACACAGTAAGCTGCAGGCAAGCAAGTCCCTGCCTAAAAAAAGAAATAGAAAAAATAAGGCTAGGGCTTTGCTAAGTGGACGGCAGGAGGGCAGGTGGGTGTGTCTAGTGGGGCTGGTGCTTACCCACGGGCACCTCGGCCCTAGGTCATCCCTGGGTTGCACGCTTGTACTGGGAAAGGAAAGCAGGATGGAAGGCTTTTCAAGAATGCTGGGGCTGGCTGGGTGTTGGTGGCGAACGCCTTTAACCCCAGCACTCGGGAGGCAGAGGCAGGCTGATCTCTGTGAATTCGAGGTCACTCTGGTCTACAAAGTGAGTTCCAGGACAGCCAGAGCTGTTACACAGAGAACTGTCCTGAAAACTACACCCCTCCCCCCGAAAAAAATACTGGGAAAGAGTGAAGAGTCTATTCTGGTTCCATTCAAGAACACACATTGCAGTAGGGTCTCAGCTGGGGTCCGCCTCCCCAGGGTAGACTTACCGCCCTTTACAGTCCAGGACTTCTGCCCTTTCCCCCAGTACGGATATCTAAGAGGTAGCCTGTGTTCTGGAATGGAAGTAAACAGTGGGCAAGATACAGATCCCACCCTTGGGGAGGCTCTGAGCTGGCAATTAATTCCAGCAGGCTGAACACCTGTTGAGGAATAGCCACAGCTGGCATTCCAGGGAGCCAGAAGCCACATGTTGGGTAGACAGTGCCCAGGACCTTGGTTGCCATGCTACAGAGCCGAACAGTGGCAGCCCGAACCTAGGGAAGAACAAGGCTGACTATGGCTAGAGGCCAGTGAGTGGCTGAGAAGAGGAACACAAGACTGGCAGTGAACAAGTTTTAAATAACTTCAGGAGGGCCGTATGTCACACTGGCAGTGGGCATGCAGCTAGGCAACTGTGTGCATGGCTAATGGAGGTAACTAAAGGCTGGGTGACAGTCCAAGTGATTCTGGTAGAAGATAGACTCTGTGTCCATCTTCTAGAATCCAGAGTGGCTGTTTCTGGCCAGCCAACTTCCTGTGGGAAGTAGTGGGAAGAGACTGGACTTCTACATGGCTATCCAGGCTCTGGCAGTGCCCCAGGTTGGGGACAGAGCAACTGTCTGGAGTCTGCAGGGCCATCCAGGGAGAGGCACGAGTCCATAGAGAGGGCCAACAGCTCCGTGAGGTCTTTGCCAGCCAGCAAGGGGTAACCATGACTCACACTGTGTTCTTAGTATGTCTCCCAGAATGACAGCTCCCTATGTGTGGAGGAGTTGAGGAGGCCACAACTCTCTGTGAAGAGTCTCATAATCCCAAGAGGTGATTGGGAGTTTCTGCCCAGGAGCTCAGTGACACCACCCCACTTGTAGTAGAGAGTCCCCAGCCCAAGAGATCCTGTGTATAGCTCCTCTTGCAGGCCTGTGGGGTATTCAGTCTGGAATGGTTTCTAGATAGGTTTGTAAAATCTTTGCTAGTCAGTGTGTCAGATGCATATCCTTATTGCTTGGAACGCCAGGTTTATCATGCAACAAGCACCAGGCACACCTGTTATCTGGTGACAGAGGAGAACATGCTTTATCTCTGTAAGGAACACTTATTCACGGTTGGGGGAGGTGCAAATTAATACAGCCATTATAGAAATCAGTTTGGGGATTCTCAAAAAATGAAAATTAGAACTACCATGTGACTCCACTTTTTCCCTCATGGACATAGAGAACTCCAAACTCTACCATAAGAATAGTTGCATCCCAAAAGTTTATTGCTGCTTAATCACTATAGCATAGAATTGCAATTAACCTAGTTGTCTATCAACAGATGAATGGATAATGAAATTTTTGTGTATATAAAAAATGGAATACTATTCACCTGTGATTTGTTTTCTGCCTTTTTAGTCAATATGATCTGATTGATCATTTCATGATCCATCCATGTGATTTGCCTGCTCAATCTGAGGCCTCTGGTCTAGACCTGCAGTGGATGCCTGCAGTCAGGATAATACCAAAGTCTAGACTGTTGTTTTTCCTGTATGTGCAGACCTGTGATAAAACTTCATATATGTTAGACACAGTGAGATTTAATGGCCAATCTAAACAGAACAGTTATATCAAAGCTTTGGTTAGGTTACATGGAACCTCATTGCTAAGAATCTCATTGCTAAGTTTTCTTTATGAGTTGCTTGTGTGTTTTGTAGCTGGATGATAACAAAACTGGTGTGAGTTTCTTCTCCTCCTCCTCCTGAGTTCCATGGGTATTTGTTCTTACTAGTCTTTATAGCTTCAGCATGTGGTTGCTCTTCACTTTTATTAAGTTGAGAACTTTCTCTTACTCTGTGGCTTTCCTTGGGCATATCCAGATGCCAGTTTTACCACTCTTGATTTCAGAGCCACCATTAGGTCAAACAAGAATGGCTTAGCCACAAGCATTATGACGTTGAAACTGCAACTGTCTGTCTGATCCCCAGACAACGACTGAGAGACTATCTGGATACTTTGCACAGTTAGGTATGTCTCAGGAAGGATCAGCACAGGACAGCCTGAAACTTCACCACACGGCTCAGAACATGCAATTTAAAAACTTATTTCTGGAATTTTCCTTGTGTATATGTGGTACTGGGGATAAAACTAGGGCCTCATGAATGCTAGATAAGCAACCTTCCACTAGCCATCTCTCTAGGCACCCAAATGTGACAAGCTAAGGTAACTGAAGCCTCTGGTAAGGGGGAGACCTGTATTGCCAAACTGACTCTCACATGGTGAACATTTTCCATGCGCCAATCTCCTTTGCAAGGCTGTCTTTTCTTCACAGCTTTACTAACCCTCACTCTCCTGACTGTCCCGTGTTTGCATGAGATAGCCCCTTATTGGTTTGCATTGCACCCTGAGTAGAGGTACTGGGCATCAGGCTGTGTACTTTCTGGATCCCTAGTGGGATTTATCAGAGTGGCTTACAGGCTGTGTTCTGGCTAGTACAATGACTGTCTTCTAACACAAAGTCCAAGAATCCAGTATTTGTCTGGTCTAAAAGGCTGTATGTCTCAGTGGGCCTTCAGTATACATCAGAATCCCAAAGAAGTAGGTTCTAATACCAGTGAAGGAATGGACTTACCAATGAGAGTGAGGGCAAGCAGGCAAAAAGCAAAGCAAAATGAATACTCAGAGACGTATATTAATTTAAAACTGTTGATCGGTGACTAGGGCTTCTTATTGGCCAGCTATGTTTTATTAACCCATTTCTATTAATCTAAGTATTTCCATACGGTCTCATCTTATTAGAGAACACTTTGTGCGACCTCTCTTCCTAGACTCTATATGACAACTCCTGTCTGCCTACACTTCCCAGAATTCTCCTCCTCTGGTAGCCCCGCCTATTCTTCCTTCCTGGTCACTAGCCACACAGTATTTTATTCATCAACCAATAAAAGAAACATATACACAGAAGACAACCCCATCAGGCAGGTGGATCTCTGTGCATTCTAGGACAGCTTGGTCTACACAGTGAGTTCCAGGACAGCCCAGGGTTGTGTAGGGACCTTGTCTTAAAAAAAAAAAGCCATACAGTGGTGGTACATGCCTTTTATCACAGCCCTCAGGAGGCAGAGGTAAGTGGATCTCTGAGTTCAAGGCCACCTGGTCTACAGAGCAAATTCCAGGGCAGGCAGCCAGAGCTACACAGAGGAACCCTGACTTGAAAAACAAAAAGAAAAAAAATCTCTCACAGGTGTACCCAGCAGCTTCAGTTTTGGTTTGGTTTGGTTTGGTTTTTGGTTTTTCGAGACCGGGTTTCTCTGTGTTGTTTTGGAGGCTATCCTGGAACTTGCTCTGTAGACCAGGCTGGTCTCAAACTCACAGAGGTCCGCCTGCCTCTGCCTCACAAGTGCTGGGATTAAAGGCATGCACCACCATTGCCTGGCTGGCAGCTTCAGCTTTAGTTAATTCCAGATCTAGTTAAGTAGACAACCAAGAAGAGCTGTCCTGGTTGGCCATGAACTCAAAGTAATCCTCCTGCCTCAGTCTTCCAAGTGCAGGCATTACAGGTGTGTAACAAGTTCTGCTCTAAAAATCTTTTATTACCTTTAATTGTTTATTTTTAATGTTATAGTGTTAAAGATCTAATTTTTCTTGTTTTTCTGAGACAGGGTCTCATATAGCCCAAGTAAGCCTTGAACTATCTGAGTTAGGGATGAGCCTGAAGCTCTGTTCTTTAGTTCCCACCTCTGGAGTGATTGGGATTCCACTACAGGTCCATGTGCCTTCACACACACACACACACACACACACACACACACACACACACACAGAGAGAGAGAGAGAGAGAGAGAGAGAGAGAGAGAGAGAGAGAGAGAGAGAGAGAGGTGCACACTTAAGGAAAACACTTGGAACACTGGTGATTATGGTCAATGTTCTTCAGAGAAGAGCCCTAGAAGCACAATGGTAAGGTACTGTGTGTACCAAGTCCTGTCTCAGCCCTGGTTTTTGATTCCTGTCTTTAGGACTGAAGCCCTCCTCATCTGACCTTCATAACCGCTATCTCCTTCCTCTGCAGCCACTCGGGAGTCAGCCTTTGTTCATGCCATTGCCTCTGCTGGAGTGGCCTTTGCAGTGACCCGCTCCTGTGCAGAGGGCTCAGCCGCCATCTGTGGGTGCAGTAGCCGCCTCCAGGGCTCCCCAGGCGAGGGCTGGAAGTGGGGCGGTTGTAGCGAGGACATTGAATTTGGCGGAATGGTGTCTCGGGAGTTTGCTGATGCCAGGGAGAACAGGCCAGATGCCCGCTCTGCCATGAACCGTCACAACAACGAGGCTGGGCGCCAGGTATGTACACAGAACCCTAGGGTTCCAAAAGCAAGAGCTGCTTGTTCACTGGGGTGCCCAGAGGGAGGAAGAGAGAAAGAGGAGGGGAGGGAGGGAGGGAAGGAGGGAGGGAATGATGAGAACACAAGAATCTGGAACAGAACAGGGATAACAGAGCATTGTTGAAGGTCCCTTCCTCTGGCTATACCTGGGTATAGCCTTTTATTTGCCTTCCTTTGGGTATCCCTGGTCTTCGGGGGCTGATGCTGAGATTTCAGAAGAAGGTGAAGGTCTGTACTTTCATACACAGACAAGCTTTACTGCAGCAGCTCACCCTCAAATATGCTTAGTGTCACCTCACACACAGAGCCCTGCTTCCTTCCCAGAGACGAGACTCCAGATGCGTAGAGTTCAGTGGTATATCAGAGCCGAGAACTGAGTCATCAACGGGAGAGGGACCTTACACCACCCAGGAATGTCTGTCATGAGCAACAGAGCCAACTATGGTGGTGAAAACAGAGACATTTATTCAAAGTGTATTTTACAGGCATTTAAAACCAGGAATGGTGGTACAGACCTGTAATCCCAACACTCAGTCACTACAAGGCAGGAGGATCAGACGTTCAAGGTTAGCTTCTATTACATAATGTTTGAGGCCAACCTTGTACAAGACCCTGTCTCCAAAAGCAAGCAAGCATTTCATAACTGTTGGCTCCTCTGCCAAGCTCCTGTGGCTAGGTACCTGCCTGTCCTTCACTGTAGCAGACATTTGGAAATGCCAAGCATGCCCAAGGACAAGCTGTCACAGTGAAACTTACTCTGTACATCATACTCTACCTATTCCTAAAGTTAAACACTAGCTCAAATCCACATATCCTTCAGACAAAGGATAGGATGGTCTCCTCTGGGGATCCCAGGTCTCCCAGAATAAATGGAGGGGGTTCCTAAAACATGGCAGTTGGATCACCTTATAGTGAGTGTTGTGATAATTGCCTCCCACCTGCAGGAATTTCCAGAAAGCAGCAGGGGTGGGGGTGAGCAGTGGTGCAGGTTTTTAATCTTAGCAGAGATGAGTGGGTCTCTGAGTTCTGAGGCCAGCCTGGCTTACATAGAGAGTTCCAGGCCAGCTGGGGCTACAAATCAAGACCCTGACTCTCCACCCCACCCTCCCCCTCAAAAAAAGAAAGAAAACACAAAAAGCAGAATTTTCAGGAATTATACAATAAAACAAACAAAAACCAAGAGTTTAACTAGATGTGATGATTCAGGTCAGCAATGACAGCACTTGGGAGGCTGAGGCAATAGGGTAATGAGTTTGAGCCTGTGCTATATTGTGAGTTTGAGGCTATATAGTGAGACCTTGTCTCAAAAAGCAAACAAATCTTTTTATTTAAAAAACAAACAGAATGTGCATAAAATAAGCACTGTAAGAAAAAAACAAACTGCCGGGTGGTGGTGGCACACGCCTTTAATCCCAGCACTCGGGAGGCAGAGGCAGGCGGATCTCTGTGAGTTCGAGGCGGGCTGGACCGATAGCCTCCAAAACAATACAGAGAACCCTGTCTCATAAAAACCAAAAAAAAAAAAAAAAAACTATCAGTGTCCTCGGAGAGATCACTGTCCCTGTGACATTGGAACAATATGTTAATTTTAAAAAGGAATGAGAAAGAGCTCTTAGAAATTAAAAATACTGGGCCTAAAAGATGACACAGTTAGCCAGACGTTGGTGGCACATGCCTTTAATCCCAGCACTTGAGAGACAGAGGCAAGCAGATCTCTGTGAGTTCGAGGCCAGCCTGGTCTACAGAGCGAGTTCCAGGATAGCCTCCAAAACAATACAGAGAAACCCGGTCTCATAAAAAAAAAAAAAAAAGACTAGTATTTGGGCCTTGGCACCTACATAGGGTGGCTCATAACTGGCTGTAACTCCAGCTCCAAGACACCTGCTACCCTCTTCTGACACCTGAACACACATGCAAGCAAACACACACATACACATTTTAACCTTTAAAAAATGGAGAAAGCCAACCAGGCAATAATGAGGCACACCTTTTTAGTTTCAGCACTTGGGAGGCAGAGGCAGGCGGATCTCTGTGAGTTCGAGGCCAGCCTAGTCTACAGAGTGAGTTCCAGAACAGACTCCAAAGCTACAGAGAAATCCTGTCTCGAAAAACAAAATGGGGAAGTTCAGAACCTGTAACCTAGAGAAACCCTCCAAGCTTCAAAGAGAATACCTCGTGTTCTTGCCAAGGATGGGGTATCAAAAGACATTATTGGAAACTAGAAGAAAATAGAGCAACACTTTGAGAATTCTGAGTGACAAAATGATTTTAAATTAATAATTTCATTCCCAGCTGCACTATGAAGGGGATAGTACAATAGAATAGATTGTGTTCAGACAGTACCATTTCACAAAATTTACCAGATGGCAAAAGGATGTCTTGAAGGTGAAATGAGAAAATATCTTTTGGGGGTTTTAATGTTTTTATTAAAGGTGTGTGTGTGTGTGTGTGTGTGTGTGTGTGTGTGTGTGTGTAGATGTGTGTTTCACAGTGTGTGTGTAGAAGTTAGGGGACAACTTCAAGAGTCGGTTTTCTCATGCCACCATGTAGTTCCCTGTCATGAAACGTGCAACTAACTTAGTGGCCAGACCTTTACCTGCTACCTCACCAGCCCTTTTTGGTTTTTGATGCAAACTTCATGTATTCCAAGCTGGCACTGAATTCTCTATGTAGCTAAGAATGACCGTCTTCCAAACTCCTGCTTCCACCTCCCATGTGCTGGGACTGGGGACACACACTACCACATTCAGTTTATGAGATGCTAGGGATCAAATCCAGGGCTTCATGCCCAGCATTCTAGGCAGATGCCATACCAACCAAGTTTCATCCCTAGCCCTGATGTTTGGACATCTCAAGAGGATGTTTGGAGATGAGAAAACACAGGGCTGACCTATGACAGGTGTGTTAATCACATAACAGAAAGTTGTATGGGAAAGAAAATGTCACCTTTGCATACGCCTGCTGACACAGCCAGTGCCATCAGCAGTGAGTATTGAAGGGAGAGATCATCCTATGGTGTTTAGGGCAGAAAACAGGGAGGGTGTAGGTGTGTAGTGAGAGGTGAGAGAGAGTAGTAAATTTCAACACTTCATGGTAAGAAAGCAACAGACAATACCTTCCATTCAAAAATGAAGAAGAAAGACAAGTGCCATGACAGCCCTGCTTACTGGAAGGCACTGTCTTGCATGGCCAGGAACTATGCCACACAGGTGAGCACTGGCCAGGATCCCTGCTTTAACCAGCAGGTCTCAGCTGCTATTGAGATATTTGGCCAAGTAAAACAAAAACAAGAGAGACAGAGAAAGGAGAGATGGAAAGAGTCTCTCTCAGAAGTCTGGCGGCAAAAGAGAGGAATGTGGGTATTAGGCAAGCTGGACAAGCCAGGCGGGGCGTTATTCTACCACGCCCATGGGCCAGTTCGATAGGAAGGATGAAGCAGCAGCTGAGAGTTAGATGAGGTGCAAGCAGATCTGAACCCAGAATGATTGAAGCCTTAAGCCGATGCTTTCTAATACAAATCCTTGCAAGCCGCACTCAGAGCTGCTTGGGTAGTTTAGCTTTCAGGTAGTTATATTGAAAGAATACCCAGTTAAATACACTTGGAGCCTTTTGAAAGAGTCTTACAGTGTAGCTCAGACTAGCCTCCAACTCTCAATTCACTTAGATTATAGTCATGTACCATCATGATGGGCTGGTCTTCCTCTATACAGGGGAATTATGGAGAGAGAGAGAGAGAGAGAGAGAGAGAGAGAGAGAGAGAGAGAGAGAGAGAGAGAGAGAGAGAGAGAGAGAGAGAGAGAGATTCCCAGATCCTAGACTCTTGACTTCTGCTTTCTGACAGGTGAACTATCACTTTTGGGAAGGTAGGGGCCAAGGAATACATGGAGATGGCCTGTGTCTCAGACTCTCAGACTTCTTCTGGTAGTTTTCCAGAGCAAGTGGGCAGCAGGCAAGGTCCTTGAGAGTGAAGCTTCTAACATAAGTTTCCTGACTCCATTTAAAATATTTTAACTACCATCATTATAGATCACACTTAAGGGCTGCAATGAGACCTTTCAATATGTGACTATAAAACATCATGATCAGATCAGGGTAGGAAGCGTTCCTATCACCTGAAAAATTATTTCAACCAGGCACTGTAGTGCATATCTGTAATTCCAGCACTTGGAGGCACAGGCAACATTGTCACAAGTTCAAGGCTAGCATGGGCTATGTACTAAGTGAGAAAGAAGTGTGTGCATAGTGAGAAAGAACCTGTCTCAAAATGAAAAAAATATTTTTCTGTTTGAACATTAAAAACCTCCCACATCATTTGAAGCAGTTCTTTGTCTGCTGTGGTGTTCCCTTTGTACTATAGACTATCAAGGGGTACATATTCTTCCCTTTCAACGAAGACCTCTTCAAGTTCTTAGCATCACCACCCTTGGGGCTGAGCATCCAGCATGAGAACCTGGACCACAGCCAGATCTAAACAGAAGCTACCCCCAGGGCCAGCTTGTTATTTCAGTAGCACAGTGGATGTTGAAATTATGAATGCAACATCCTGCATGCTTTTCTCAAGCTAAGGCTTAGAGACTCAGTGTGTGTGTTTGCACAGAAAGGAAAGACGCAAGGAGGTGTTGAAGTCTGGAGCAGAGACACAGGGAGTAACCCCTGTATGTAGTAGGGAGGGTCACTGGAGACTGTTCTGATGATTGTATGCCCCCTTGTCCCCACCCCTTTCCCTAAGGAAAGGGAGGCAGGATTCTTGAAGCACCTCTACCTCTTCCCCATGAGGAGGAGCAAGGTCTCTGTTGTCCATAGGGAAAACTTCTGTTCATCCAGGGCCCTGTGAGTATAAGGACCAGTCTAAGAGCCCCTGCTCTGTACTCCTAGTTTTTACACCAAGCCCATAGCTCTGGCCAGCTCCCCACATCTTCCCTCCAGCATCCTCACACTGCCTGAAGCTCCGTGCTTCCTGCACTCTGTCTCAAACACCCCTGGAAAGAGGATTAGCTGGGTCTATATAGAGAAAGCAGCTCCCAGGCCACTGAAGCCTTGGACCTGGCTGGGTCACCACAGGGAAGGTATGGCACTCGGTGCCATAGAGAGGAGTCTCAGGGGCTTTTTGGAGTAGGTGGGCTGAATGCAAAGAGCAGGCCCCCTGGTTGAGCCGCACCAGGAGTAGACACAGGCTTATGTGCTTGCCTCCTCAGGCCATCGCCAGTCACATGCACCTCAAGTGTAAATGCCACGGACTATCCGGCAGCTGCGAAGTGAAGACGTGCTGGTGGTCGCAGCCCGACTTCCGCACTGTCGGGGATTTCCTCAAAGACAAGTATGACAGCGCTTCCGAGATGGTGGTGGAGAAACACCGTGAGTCTCGTGGCTGGGTGGAGACCCTGAGGCCACGTTACACATACTTCAAGGTGCCCACAGAGCGCGACCTGGTCTACTACGAGGCCTCGCCCAACTTCTGTGAACCGAACCCTGAAACCGGCTCCTTCGGGACGCGCGACCGCACCTGCAACGTGAGCTCCCACGGCATAGACGGGTGTGACCTGCTCTGCTGCGGGCGCGGCCATAACGCGCGCACTGAGCGAAGAAGGGAGAAGTGCCACTGTGTTTTCCACTGGTGCTGCTACGTCAGTTGCCAGGAGTGCACACGCGTCTATGACGTACACACCTGCAAGTAGGAGGGTTCCTAACGGAGGAAGCAAGGTTCATATTTAGGGGCAGGGTTCCTACCTGGGGGCGGGGTTCCTACTTGAAGGGGTCTCATACCTGAGGATCCAGTTTCTACTTGAGGGTAGGGCTCCTGCCTGTGAGGGGCTCCTACCTAGAGACCCAGTTTCTGCCTTCAGCCGGAGCTCTTACTTGGGGTCTGGGTTCCTTTTTAGCGGAGAGGCTCCTGCCTGGGATTCGGGATTTCTACCCAGGATGGGGCTCTACCTAGGGGTGGAATTCCAATCTGGGACGGGGAGGGTTGGGCTCTTCCCTTGACCCTACAGGGTTCAAACCAGGACAGGTGAGCAACTCCTTAACTAGATGGGGTTCGTGGATGGGCGGGTGTCTCTCCTCCCAGAGGCCCTGCTCTAGATAGATTGAGAAGATGCTTCAGGATGGGCCCTACTAGGCTTGGGGATCCAGTGGGGGTGGGACTTCACCCTGAATTGGTGGAATGTCTGAGCAAGAAGAAAGGAAGGAGACCCTCTTCTGTTGGGGTGAGGCAAGGCATCACTAAGGACTCCTGGGACAGAGCTCCAGGGAAGGAGGAGCTCCTGAGTAAGCTTAGGCTCTGAGCAGGTGATTCAGCCACCATATGGCTCCTTTTCAGTCTCCGTGTACGGTTCCACCTGCAAGCCTCATCTGTGCATGGCAGGATCTCCTGGCAGAATGAGCCATGAAGAACTCAGGGGTGACGCCAGATCCTGCCCCCATGCCTGGAAACCCTTTTCCAAGCCCTGCACTCCTTCTGCCTGTGTGTTCCTATCCTCCTTACTAGATCTCTCCTGAGGAAGATTTGCAGTCCCCTCAGAGTTCAAGTGACCAAGTATGGAACAGAGCTCTATCCTGAGTAGAGAGGGTACTTGGGGTTGGGGCTGCTAGGAAGGATCCTAGAGCCTGGCATCTTCCCACCATCGCCTGTCTCTGCTCTGACATCCAACACTCAGATCTACTCGCAGGAAACCTTTCCAGCTCATCTGGTCAGTGATGTCCAGGACCCAAAGGTGCTCAGAGATACTGGCCTCACTTTGAGTTGTAGGAACTTCAGGGACATTAGGGCACAGACTGCAGAGACAAGGTGTCTCCTGGAGGCCCCCATGTTCAGGACTGATCCCCAGAACCTGCTGTTTAGGCAATGGTCACCAGATCTGTTGGCCACTAGCCTGTTCTCTTGAGTCTTGTCTGGCCTGGAAGAGAGACATTGCAGGCCATCTGCCACAAGAGCTTCCTGAATCACTGCTACTGTGAATTGTCCCCACCTCCAGGCAGGGGAGGGGATGTGGCCACATAGGAGTGTGCCCCAAGAGCACCGAAGAGAGGCCACACATGGTGACTGTCTTCTGCACGGTGACTGTCTTCTGCCTGGAACTTTGCGTTTGGAGTTGTAATTTTATTTCCAATGCTGCTATATCCACCATCACTGGAACTGGACAAACGTGACTCTTTTCTTTTTTTCTTTCTATGAAAGAAATTATTTTAGTTTATAGGATGTTTGTTTCAAATAATGGGGAAAGTAAAAAAGAGAGAGAAAAAAACCCCCAAGTCTGTGGTTTGCACTAGATTTTCCCTTTTATTAACATGTCTGAGCCGCACATATTGATGGGGTTTGATATGGCGTTCTGTGCTGATCTACCAAGGGTAATTCACATTTCCCTGTCTTTATCATTTGTGGTGGGTCTGCACTATCTTGGTGACCTGAAGATGCCAGCTCAGGGACTGGGTCTCAGAACCAAGCAGAGGGCATCAGCAAGCCTCCAGGGAAGTCTGTGGGCCCAGACACTCCAAGAAGAAAGACTAGAAATAGCTAAGTCGGGAAAGGAGCTAGTCAACTGTAGCAACCTGTGGTATAGAGCAGATCTGAGAGCTCAGAGAGGTGCAGATGGGGTTTTAAGAAAGCTAGGGAGCCATCCAGTAAATAATTAGGATACTGTGGTAGCCCCAGTGAACAGATGAGGAGCTTGGGTCACTGGAGAAGAAGCTCGACCAAGACCCCTCACACATCAGCGACTTAGAAACATGGGACAAACCATCTCCCCATGAATCCAAAGTCACAGCTGATATCCCAAGATCACTGTATTCGGATATGGCAACCATTGGGATGTGAGGACAGTGGTCTGGCTTGCTGCTGGTGGCCTTTAAGTACAGGGTCAACTGAATCCTAGGAGCATTCTCAAGTCCTCAGATGGGGCTGGACACCAGAAACATCTCATATTCCCACCCAGAGAAGTCGTGCTCCCATTTGCCTTCACAAGGGGCCCAAAGCCTCAGCCAAGTCAGATAGGGTTAGTCATCCTGTCAGTGAGCCAAGTGATCAGGGGTGGGCTTTAGGGACACCATGGAAGTGAAGGCTGGAGGCCTCAAAACCACAGATCTCTCAAGGCCACAGCTCTGTCTAAGCAAGCTCTACCATGTCTCCGCTCCTTTTCCTGCTCCCCCATACCCGTCCCTACACTGTCCCATGTCTGGGTCCTGTCCTGATGTCCAGATACCAGAGCAATGGATGTCCTGAGAAAGCTGAAAGCAGCAGGTGCTACCTCTCAAAAACCCAAGTTGGCTGGGTGTGGTGGCGCATACCTTTAATCCCAGCCCTTGGGAGGCAGAGGCAGATGGATCTCTCTGAGTTCAAGGCCAGCCTGATTTACAAAGGGAGTTCCAGGACATAGAAGATGGTTACACAGAGAAACCCTGCCTCAAAAAAACCAAACCAAAACAAAACAAAACAAAAACCGGGGAAGAAAGTCTGTGGGGGTGAGAGGAGATATAGGCAGGGCCTTCCAGGCCCATTTGACCCAGCATTATAGCTGAATCTGTGAGGTTGGTCCATGTTGACCACTAAAAGCCAAGGCTGCTGCCCACATGCCACATGAACTTGTCCATAGCCTGGCAGCCCAACATTATGTCACATTGGCTGAAATTACACTCTGAATGTCATTTGCCAGAGCAGCCTGCCACTGGCTTTGTGGCAAGGCCTCTTAAGGAGGTCCTTAAGTCTTCAAAGTAGTCACAAGTAGTCCTAAGACCCTACTGGAATCTCCTGTATTCTTAAAGTGCATCGGGAAGGAGCCCCCATGTCATGTGCCTGGTCTGTATTGTACATGGCTCCCACTGCATGCCCCAGATACATCTTTGGTCCACATAACCTGCTAGCTAATCCTTGTGCTACTCTGTGAACTCACCCCTTCCAGGGCTCAGATTTAACCTGTAGGCTGCTGATCCATGGCCTGAGCCATCTTGGTCCACTGTGCTGAGAATACAGGCCCTCGTTGGTCACATTGTCATACCTAAACACCAAGGTACTCAGAGTCCCGGTAGGGTACAAAAGGAATAGCCAGCCTGGCCTGACAATATAGGCCTGTAATCCCAGCTGCCACAGTAGCTAAGGCAGAAGAATCACAAATTCAGGACTGCCTGGGATACAGAGCAAGGTGTCTCAAAATGTAAATAAAGGGCTGGAATGTACCTCCGTGGCAGAATGCTTTCCTAACATGACAGCTGAGTGGTTTTGGGAAAGGAGTACTGTGCTGGAGCTCTCTAGCCCCTGGAGAACTGGCCAGGTCTGTTCAGGACTTGTGTAGGAACATGGCGCAGGCCCAGGTTCTGAACGCTCAGTGAGTGCCCCTTCTTTAGCCTTCTGATTTCCTGCATCTTGGCAGGTAGGCACCCTAATGTCATTTATGTCTACATACAGCTCCCTCTCCTCAGCCTCAGGGCTTGCTGTACCCCTGTTGGTGCATTCTAGGCAGGCCACCCTCTCTCATGGCTGCAGGTGTAGTAGGCCCTGACCTACTATTGACAGGACTACCTAGGAATTCCCAGGAAGGCCAAGGGTCAGTGGGGCCAGCCAGCTGCGAATGAACAGGTTGTAAATAGGATGCCATGTTCAGGGCCAGTCAAAGCAGAAGGACAGGCGCCCATTCTCCCCTCGGGGGAGTGAGTCACTAGCAGGCAAGGGGGCAGGTTCCGGAAGAGTCCACTCAGCCTGCTGGGCCATCTTGGGTGCTAACAATAATAAAGCCATCAGTCCCTAGGGCGGTGATGAGAGTCCTTAGTTAAGCCTGTCTGACAGATGAGTAGCTGCTCTGGCTGGCACCCTGGGCAGGAGCCACCCTAATTGGTACCTGCTGACCTAGTGCCCAGATGAAAGGGACAGACTCGACTGGAGGTGGCAGGACAGTGGTACAACCAACAGGTCACTGGGACCTGAGAAGTTGGAGTTCAATGAGGATTGAGGTTGTCTCAAGAGCCTAGCAGGGTTCAGGTGCCACACAGCTTTTGGGAATGCAGAGCCTAGGCAGAAGACAGACCACTTTAAAGGGTTAAAGAGCTCACATACATCCAGATAATAAGTCTGGGAAGTTTGGAGCACCTAGGCCTAGAGAGGAAGCAGCATTGGCCTGAGACTATGCCAGGGACCCAGGTGGTCTCTGGAGTCCTAGGTGCAAGTTTCTGAGCAGCAGGCCCAGCAGGCCCAGCATGAGAGACTACCATGAAGATAGTCTTGGCTGTCCAGAGACACACAAGGCTGTGGTCTTAATGGCTGTGGTGTGAGAAGAAAGGGAGAAAGCCCATGAAAAGAGCATCCACAGCTCATGGGAACATGAGACAGACCCCAGATGCTGGCCTGGTCATGGTGAACTAGGAAGTGAAACCCTGAACTCATTGCTTGGCAAGAGCAAGCTTCACTCCTCTCTGAGCCTCAGTTTCTCTCCTTGCAGAAGGAAGTGGAATGAACTGCAACCCCCAGTCCTAGGTGGTGGGAAGTCCTTGGTCCCACTCAGATTCAAGCTTGCAGCTGTGGGCCTCAGAAGCTGCCTCTCTGGTGAATTTACAGCCCCTCCCGCTGCCCTGGAGAAGGAGGAAATGAGCTGGGGGCCTGTTCACAGGTAGTTGAGACAGCCCCCGAATAACCATATAAAAGGGCCGGAGGCTGGGGGCCCCACCCAGCCAGGACAAGCTTGGCCATCCCTTTGCAAATCTCACACTCAGTAGCTTTGAAGTACTGGAAAGGGTGTGGCCAACCCCCACCTTGGGGCCCCACTGACCCTCCCTCTTTCTGTCACCCCCTCCCCTGGACGCCCACTTTCTGGGTCCTGGGGCTCAGTTTCCTCTCTTCAGAGACAGACTGGAGGTTGTCACCATGGCCTGACCTCCAAGAAAACCTACTCTCAGGACAGCTGGGGTGCAGCCAGCTTGGTTTCCACACCTGGTTTGGAACTGAGAAAACAGACCTGAGAACTAGCTTTCCACGAATAATTGACGATGATGCGGGCAAGTGTATAGCAAGAATCTGGAGTCCTCAATCCAAGCAGTCTTGGTTGTGTAGTGTCTGCACCTGGGGACAAACAGGCAGTCAGGAGGAAATTCCGGGATGTCTCTAGGGCCTTCCTGAAAGGGACCACTCACGGTTGGAGTGAGAGAAAACTAAGGTGTAGGGGTAGCACAGCCCCAGGAACCCCTCCCAGACCTGACAGGTCACACAAATGATGCCAAGCCTCCCTGGCTTGCTGTATGGGTCCTAGTTGACCTGATGTCTGTGCAGCTCTGCCGCTGTGTGGCTGAGGTGACTGGTTCTTACAGCTGACCCAACCCTGAGTCCTGCCCAGCCTGCCCCAACCATAAGGATCTGCCCAGAAGGAACTTTGGGACACAGTACTTCCCTGGAGTCCTGCTCATGGCCTGGAACAGATTCTCTCCCTCTGTCTCTACCCTGCAGCATGCCATAGGCCCAGGTCCCACCTCCCCCGACCAGTCATTCACCTTTACACAGCCTGGTCCCTGGAGTCCCCCATTTCCCTTTCAGAAACCCTCCCCACCAGGTACCCAAGAACAACACACTCTGAGAGCAGAGCCTTTTAGGGTCATCATCTCTTCAATGACCTCCGACTTCCAGAGCCAGAGTAGAAACCAGGTACATGCACCTACTGCCCCTGAAGCCCTAGAGGACCAGCATGCCATCCTACTGCAGGCCAGCATTAGAGACAGGTATGAGTCCTGCATAGCCCAGTTGGCTACTGTCTCTCACTAGAGTTGAGTTAGACTACACTCTCGTTACTATTCTTGGGCCATGTGGGAAGACTTCCAAGAGAAGGCCAGCAAGGTGCCTCCTGATGTTCTTTAATTCTGAGATGCCATGACAAGGAGTAGTGACTGGGGCAGCAAGGAAGCCCTAGGAAGGTCCCCAACTCCAGGAGCCTGGGGGCTGCCTACCCTTCCTGCCCTGCTCTGCTCTGCCTGGCCAGGCAGCTGGGATGGAGCTGCAAGCTGTCAGAAGGTGCTAATTGTTGTTTAGCTCTGAGCCAGCTCCTTGCTCTGGTCTTTTTTTCCACCCTCTCTCTCTTTTTTATTTGAGTGTCTAGAACTCATGGTAAATAGTCATTTGGCTCTCAGAGCCCTGCAAATTGGTGTTTATGGTGTGAAGATGAGGAGGACCCAAGACTAGTCCACCCAAACACAGGCCAGCAAGGAGGGAGGAGAGAGTGAAGGAGACATGGGCCCAGCAGGGCCTGGGCACCCTCTATGTCCTATCCAGGCCAGTTC